ATTTAAGAAAAAAAAAAAGAAAAAAAGGAATTGGCTGAATTCATCACGCCCCACTCTCCTGCACCCCAACAGATCCCGGGCCCTGTGGGACTTTACATAAAAGGACTCACGTTGCTTGCCAGACTTCCAACTTTCATAGCATGGAGAGTCCGTCTGTCCATACCAACTCCCTCATAGTGGCCTCTCATGTGGTTCTGATAGTCTTCTTTGTATTTATTCTATGTGAAAACACAGCACTTTCAACAAAGGCATTCTGCTCCCAACTCGCTGAAGGTTAACTGCCCTTCTTGATGTACAAAATTCAAATATAAATGATTGAATATAATATACGTAAAGCAAATCTATTTTATTTCTTAAGAAAAACAACTTAAATTTCAAGGGAGCATCAGAAGTTAGCGGGGGACAGGCAGGCAAAGACACAAGGAAAATATGGGGTCTCATCAACAGAGCAAAACGAATTTAGTAATCTGTTCTGCTACCATTTGTAAACACAGCAGACTTTCCCAATGTAAGAATTGTCTACAAGCCATAGGACCCAGGAACACTAGGGCCTACCTACAAAGAAGGAATTGACATGGCCAAGACCCTGGTTTGAGTTTTTAACCTCCAAAACTGTGAGAAAGCCAATTCTGTTTGCTAAAGCTATCCACTTGCAGTATTTGTGTTACAACAGGATTAGGAAATTAAAACATTATCTAAGGGGAGAATAATCTAATGAACTACACTGAAATCACCTAGCCTGGAAGGCTATTGAGTTTCCTGTACTGAAAGCACTTAAACTGTAAACTGTTACTACCGTATATTCGACACGATTCCACTAATCTCAGTCAACCTTCACAAGCCCTCTCCAAGGAGGAAGGAACTGCTATCATCTTCATTTTACATATGGGGCAACGTGACCCAGACAGCTTAAACAGCTTGCCCAGCTGCTAATAGTGGAACCAAGCCCGTGTGCGCCAAAACTGATGCTCTTACCTGCTTTGTCTCTACAAAAGAAATTGCTCACTGAGCCTCACGAAGTCCCTTGCAGTTTTAAATTGTATTATCATATGCAGCTCAGCAGAAGTAAAATCAGTACAGGATACATCCCCAGGCCCCTCTAAGTGCTCCCAAATTTCCAAATGCCACTCTAGCACGTATAAGGGGGTTTCAAAGGGTTCATGGAAAATGGAATTTTTTTTTCTCCCATGAATTCTTTGAAGCCACCTTGTATCTGCTCTTCTATAAGATGAAGAAATAATGCCTGGCTCCCTGTGGTATAGAGAGTAAATAAGATGTTGTGAATTAAGAAGCACAAAGCCATGTTGAGAGGGATGCTGTGTGCCAGCATGCTATACTAGGAGCACCGTGCTGCACACAGTGATGCAAAGATGCAGGGTACAGAGATTCAGGGATGTAGAAACACAGTGATGCAGAAATGCAGGGATGCAAAACTACAGGGATACAGAGATATAGGGATTCTGAGATGCAGGGATACAGTGATGCAGGAATGCAAGGATTCAGGGATTCAGCGGTGCAAGGTGCAAGGTACAAGGATTCAGGGATGTAGGGATACAGAGACGCAAAATGCAGGGATGCAAAGATGCAGGGAGACAGAGACGCCGGTATGCAGAAATGCAGGAATACAGAAACACAAGGATGCAGAGATGCTGGGATGCAGAGCTACAGGGATGCAGCATCTGAGGACTCATGGTCAAGTATGGAGTGGGAGGGACAAAGAGATGAGACAGAATGTAATACTTCATGGACCAGACTAGCAGTCTTAATCAAAACTCATAGGTCTCTAAGTCTAAAATAACATGCTTCTCTGAGACACACAGGCACATTCACATACAAGGGAGCTTCCAAAAGTTTATGGGACAATTCCATGCTCTTTTAATTCCATGTTTCCATGAACATTAAGAAGCCTCCTTGTAGACTATCTCTTTGGAGACCTAGTAGTTAAGCTCACAAAAATGCACCAACAAATGCTTAGGTGGGACCACTCACATCACTGGTGAATTTTGAGATCTTGCTCACGTTCCTGAATTGAGGCGTTTCACAGTAGTTGATACTATGCCCTTTACTACCTTCCAGATCCTTCTTATACTCCACCTTGGAAACCAAAACACCAGATGCTCAGTAGACCCAAACACTAAGTGACTTTAGAAAAGGACTCCAAGAACAGGACATTTTAAAAGCTTTCAACTGGAGATTTTCAAATGCCAGACAGAGGATTCTGCAAGGAATTTTTAACGTTTTCATTTGTAAAATGAAATAACCACACTGGTTCTGAACATTTAAAATACATAGTCCCTTTCTGTAGTAAATGCTAAGATTTCACACAACTTAATGGCAAAACTGGTTTTAGAAATCAACATGGTTACTCTTGAGGGACGTGAGAAAGGCATGAGTGGTTGTGTAGAGTTTGATTATGTCCTGCATCTTCATTCACTTGTGAAAATTCATTCATCCGTACATGTACGATGCATGCACTTCTTTGTTTACATGGTATATTTCAATAAAAGGTAACACAAAAAGTTCCTTTACATAAAACAAGGTGCCCTTAAGTCAACTCTGACTCATAGCAAGCCTTTGTTTGCCACAGTAGAACACCATAGGAATTTTTTTTTAAAACTTTAATTTTTCTAAAGTAGATTGCCTGACCTTGCTTTCAAGACATTTCTGTGTAGACTCAAATCTCCAACATTTCCGTTAACAGCCAAGCACACTAACCATTTTTGCCCAGATTCCATTTGTGCTATCGGTCACCCTAATTTGATGACCCTTTGGTTGTTTTGTTTCGTTTTTCTCCACTTTTTATTGTGAATTGAGTGAAGGTTTACAATGTGAATCATCAATTTTATTTTCAATAAATTCTACACTTCCTTTCATCTCAGTAACTACAATCCTTCTATGTAACATAGATGTGCTACTTCCTCCCTGTGTGCCTTGTTTTCATTCCTCCTTCGTTCCCAGTCTCTCTGACTTTTGTCTTTAGTTAAATGCTGTCCTTTTGGTCTCAAATGGTTGACCGTTCCATGGTGTGCCTTGTCCCCACTAGATACATAGCTACTACTTGACTGAAAATTGAGCCCCGGGAATGAGCTCAGTTCCAGACCTGACAGTGACCAAGGACCATACTCTCAGGGTTCCATAAGTCTCTATCTGACGTAAGCTTGGTTATTTTTTTATGATTTTGAGTTTTGTTCCACATTTTCTCCCACTCTATCCAGGACCTTCTAACGTGATCCTTCATAGCAGTAGGGAGTCGGAACCAGGTACCCTCTAGGTCTTCTGGTCTCAGGGTCATGAAGACTGATGCTCCATTGGACAAATTATTTCAAAACATCTTTAATTTTTATCACTCATCTTTCCTCCAGGCAGGAAGACACCAATAGTTGTACCTTAAAGGGCTGCTCATGGGCTTTTAAGATCCCAGTCACTATCACCAAAGTAGGATGTAGAATGTTGCTGTTGGTTTTTTTGACTATGTTATACTATTTGGCCATGATGTCTCCCAAGACTATGGCTGATGATGTTTTGTATTCTCTTATGCTCCCTGGCATTATATTAGAACCACATACCATAAAGGAGTCTAATAAATGAGACTGCTCACAGATGCATAGAGTGTGTTCTAATTTAAAATGAGTTGGCTCCTCAAGCTCCCCTGGGTGGCTGGCTGAAGCTGGGAGACTATCATTATTAAATAGACTCCAAGTCATCACAGGTAATTGGAGAAGGCAACTGAAGGTCAATTACCATTTATGGAAGTGTAGCTCATTTGTCTTACTCAACACACAGACGGGCAGAGAGAGACCAAAGATTCCCATATGACCTCTTAACAAAAGTAATACAAGTTAATTTGCTATCATATCTTATAAAACATATGTGGGGACATGCCTTTTAAAGTATGCAAAATTTATTACCTGCTGATAATGTGATATAAAATTACAGCAATACACAAAACTATATATACACTTGAATTCTAATTCTATAATATGTTTTAGATTCATGTATTCATTTATAACACAGTCATGTATTAAACAACTAAAATGTTGGTTAACACTTTGGGGATAGGATATCACTATCAGTGTTCTGATCTCAGGTCTATCCATGAAACTGTCTAAGACCCAGAATAAGATGCTTCACTTTTCCAAGCCTGAGACAAAATGAGGACCTGAAGGTCACAATAATCCCATGTAGCTCTAACACTCTGGGAGCCTAGAGCAAGACTCACCATACTTTTTCTCTAAATATCCCGGTAGACATGTGAGCTCACAAAGTGGCAACTACTCAACAATGCCTTTGCAAAAGCAGCCAAAGAAAATATGAAAACAAATGGATATGCCTGTGTTCCAATAAAACTTTATTTACAAAAACAGGCTGTGGGGGCTGCCACTAGTGGTCTCTCCTTGTGTGGAGGAAAGAAGAGTAATAAAAATTGAAGATGCTTGGAATCAATCAGTCCAATGGACTAAGGAAACATGTGAACATCAGCCTCCAAGACCCTGAGACCAGAAGAACTAGATGGTGCCCAGCTACCATTACTGACTGTTCTAAAAGGGATGACATTAAAAGGTTCTAGATAGAGTGGAAGAAAATGTAAAATAAAACTCAAAATGTGAAAACAAGACCTGGCTTCCTGGTCAGGAAGGTCATCCCTCAGGTCTGGAATGGAACTCATTCTCGTGGCTCAATTTACAATCAAGTGGTAGACAATGTGTTTGGGGGTGAGGGGGAAGCACTAGTGAGGTATGCTCATCATAGAATGGTCTACTATTCAAAGTCTTAGGCTGCATTTACCTAAGGTCAAAGTTCAGAAGGGAGGGCAAGAAGTGTGTAATGAAAAAAAAAAAAAGGCTGTGGGCCAGATGTGGTGTTCAGGCCAATGTTTGCCAATCACTGAATTAGAGCATCTGAATCATCTGCAACATATGTTCAACATGCAGATTTCCAGGCTATCACAATCACCTATTGCTTCCAACTATGTGAGGCTTGTGATGAGCCTCAGGAATATGTTACTCCTGATGATTTCAAATTAGAGGACCACAGTAGGCTTAAAGTTTTGGCTAAAAGACTGACCTTTAGAGGTTAGAAAAGAAAAAGATTTTAGGATACTGGCATATCTGTTTCTAAGTTGCAGACAACTTAGGTAAGTACTTTTAAGAGCCTTAATTCTTCCCACTGAATTTAGTTAGTTACCAACTCAAAAGCCTTGACAGTCCAGATAGGTAATACCAATAAAAGAAGCTACTATGAAAAGATGTTGTTGTTGTATGGCATTGAGTTGATCCCCCCTCATAACAATCTTACATGATAGAGTAGACCTGTCCCAAATACTGGGAAGGCCAAACAAAACACACTCTCTGGCAGTCAACACTGCCTTTAAATTTAGAGAACTGTACAATGTCCACACAACTTCACACATGACAATAATAAGAATGGAGTGCATTCCATGCTTGAAACACTCTTTCTTAACAATTTGATTTTCATTCTATAACAACCGCATTTTCACTTACTTGGGTCCACAATCAATGCCCATAGCAGCAGCTGTCAAGAAATTAAATGATGTATTGCATTGGGCAAATCTTCAGCAAAAGATCTCTTTAAAGTGTTTTTTAAAAAATCAAAGATGTCACGTTAAGGACTAAGGTGCACTTGACCCAAAACACGGTATTGTCAGTCTCTTCATGTGCATGCAAAAGTTGGACAATGAATAAGGAAGACCAAAGAAGAACTATGCATTTGAATTATGCTGCCGACAAATAATATTGACTAGACCATAGACTGTCAGAACAAATATGTCCTGAAGTACAGGGAGAGTCCTTAGACTCAAGAAATGAAACTTTGTCTCATGTATTTTGGAAATGTTGTCATGAATGACCAATCCTTCAAGAAAGACATCAGCTTGATAAAGCAGAGGGTGAGAGAAAAGAGGAAGACCCTCTAGAAGATGGATTGACACAGTGGCCGTAGCAATGGGCTCAAACACAGCAAAGATGGGGAGGGTGACTCAGGACGGCGCAACTTCTGTCTGTTGTACATAGGGTCCCTATGAGTCAGAACGGATTAGCCGACTCTTAGCAACAACCACCGCATATTGTTGTAAAAGTTGGGTCAACCACTATCTGGCAGCTAAAGAATCTATTGCCTGACATGCGTGAATTTCTACAACCCTGAGAGAATTCTGGAAGAAACTTTTGGACCATCAGAGAAAGACTGAATTTTGACTGAGTCTCTCTCTCTCTTACTGGTTGTATTTGATGATATGTTGGTTTTTGGAAACTGGTAGCCCATGTTGTTGCTAAGTATGGGCCACCCCAAATCACTGTCTACAGGAGGTAAGAGGTAAGGGAAAACTCACCTCACTCACAAGCTTGTTCACATTCTGAGCGCGCTGAAGAACCAAGTTGTCGCGGGCTGGAAGGGAATGGTAGTGTGCAGCGCCTCTCATCTTATTCAAGTCCTGCCTGTACTTGATCTGAAAGAAACACACAGAAAGGGCCTGGCACTATCGTTCTCATACTCTCTGAGAAACAAAAGTACTCCCAAATCACCCTACATCTCCTGAATGCATTATTTTAATAGAGTTTTCTGAAGGCCAATCTAGAATATCACTCGGTCCTTCGTGTGTGAAATGTTTATTCATCGCTTCCCCCCTTTGTACACTTTATGCTCTAATTCTGCATGAAAAGTCTTAAAATATTGTAGCACCAGATGCAGCTTCAAACTCAGTTTTCCCTCAGTTTCAACACCACCCTCAGCCCGTCTGCTATGTAGAACGAGGTGAGTGATGTGTCTTGTCTTCCCACTCTCATTTGGCACTGTCTTAGTCCAGGAGAAGTAACTGCATAGGAACAGAGGTGGAGAAGGGCTGAGTGGGTGTGATGAGAACGTCTGACTTCTGCAGTTAGAGGGTTTTGATCTGGTGTTTTCAGATCTGCAGTGCGCACAGCATTATCCACCTTATGAATAATGTTCCACAAACAGGAGTCAGTTTCTCAGCGAGGTTACATCCAGTCTGATAATCACATGATTATATTTTCAGCTATTCCCCCAGGGTGCTGGATTTCCAAAAAACATATTTTGTGGAAACTTCTCTCACGTTAGCATTTCTGGGCCAAGTATTTGTCCTTGCTAAAACTAACCTCAAGTGGGCTAGGCTGTTTGTCCCTTACAATCTTCTTTGCAGTGTAGAAAAGTGACCAAATAGTCCAAACAAAAAAGCAAATGTCAAAATGTTTTATAAGAGATAAGGTTGGCCTTGGCTCACATTCTACTTCGGATAAGCAGCAATAAATTAATCTGTGTGTAGGTTCAGTAGGCACAGATAGTGTCAGTAGCTTTGTGCCAACTTTGTGAACATTTTCACTTTTGTTTTTCATCATACCAAGGATTCTGCTTCTAGGTGTGGCTGACATCTGTCTCTCTCCCAACCCCACAGCACTCAAAGAATCAAAGTCCCTTTTCCATTTACAATCCCTTTTCAGGATCAGACTGCCCAGTAGGCAAGGTAAACACGGGCTTGCTATTATTGTTAAGTGTTGTCGAGTTGATTCCAACCATTAGCAACCCGGCTTAGGGTTTCCGAGGAGCAGCTGGGGAGCTTGAACTGCAGACCTTGCAGTTCAAACCAACTTTGCATTCCAACGCATTTACCAACAACGCCACACCAGGCCTCCAACCATAGGCTTGTTGTTGTTAAGTGCTGTTGAGTCGATTCTGACCCATAGCGACCCTGTAGAGGGTTTCCGAGGAGCAGCTGGTGAGTTTGAAGTGCCGACCTTGCAGTTCAAATGGCTTTGCAGTCTGGCACATTAACCCACAGCGCCACACCAGGACTCTAAACATAGGCTTACATGTGTTTATTTACTAATCTGCAGTGAATACTTGCACATGTTCTTCGCCACTTTAAGTATAAGTAAGCCCATGCTTACTTTGTTCATTGGGTAATCCGCTCATAGGCATAGTCTTCATTCAAAGTTCTATTTCTTCTGTGTTTTTGTGGCTCTGTGGGTCGGCCCTGGCTGGCATGGTACTTACATCACTCACGAGCTCGTTGGCTTTCTTGGCATTCTGGTAAGCTGGGGTGATCATGGCTGGAAAGCTACCCTTTCCCCTGTGCTCTTCATACTCGTCCGAGTAACCCTGCGGAGTACATTGAAAGCCTGGGTCAGTAATGCCCTCCTCCCTGACTGGGTGGGATATTAGCAATGATTGCCGATAAACACTGCAGGTCACTTACTAGTGTCCAGCACACAGTCAGCAACTACTAAGTGGTAACTATTACTATCATCATCATTCTTATTTCTACAAGATAAATTAAGGCACGTGTGGTGCTGTAGGCAAAGTCGGCAGTTCAAACCCATCAGCCGTTCCTCAGAAACCCTATGCAGGGTTGATATGAGTTGGAACCAACTTGACGGCACATAACAACAACACAACAACCAGTCTTTCTGAGTTCCAGATAGGGCAGCTCAGTGCAGTCGGCTGTTAGCTGAAAGGTTGGAAGTTCAAGTATATTCATAGGTACCTTAGAAGAAAGACCTCGTGATCTACTTGCGAAAAATCAGTCATTGAAGACCCTATGAAGCACATGTCTACTCTGACACATGAGTCAACTTGACAGCAACTGATATTCTAGGAATCTTGTTTAAATGCAACTAGTAACCAAAAGGTCAGCCATTCAAACTCAGCAGCCACGCTGGAGAAGAAATAAGAGATAGTTTGTTTCTGTAAAGGTTTACAACCTTGGAAATCCTTACGGGGCAATTCCACTCTGCCCTTGGAGTTGCTATGAGTTGAAATTGACTCAACAGTAATGGGTGAGGGATGCAAACTCCACCATCTAGTCCTATCTGGGAGTTCATTGATTATAAATAATAAATGGATTCCATGGTATAACCCATTGACCTAAAAATATAGATACTCATCAGGAAGAAAAATGAATTGCTTGACATTTAGGCACTATTGTTGTGGTTGTTAAGTGCCGTCGAGTTGGTTTTGACTCATAGCAACCCTGAGTAGGGTTTCCAAGGAGCGGCTGGTGAGTTTGAACCACCGACCTTGTAGTTCAAACTGAACTTGCAGGCCTTGGAAACCCTATGGTTTCCTAAGAGCTTGTCTCCTGCTTCCCTGTCTGTCACTCCCTCCTACTCATGCCCTCACGGGTCACACCAAGTCCCATAATAAGATACCACAGCAGACGGAGTCCTCTCAACAGCTGGAAATGGTGCTCTCAAACCACGCCCAATGTCATCTTTGTATTTGTTATTATCAGGACCGGAAACGTCAATCCTAATAATTAAGAGCCAGCTGTGGAACTCTGAAGTTGTATCTCATCCATGGAAACTGACAGGTCTAGATTCATGTATGAAATACATGTATGTGTTATTACTAGTGACAGTTTAGATATTTTTAAAACCACTGCTCTTAAGTCAATTCCGATTCACAGTGACCCTGTCCAGGGGTTCCTGGACTGTAAATCTTTTCAGGAGCAGACAATCTCATCTTTCTCCCATAGAACGGTTGGTGGAAGTGAACTCCTGACTTTTCTGTTGGCAGTCTAGTGCTGTTAACGGCCGTCAAGTCAGATCCAACTTATAGCAACCCCATATAGAGTTTCCTAGGAGCGACTGGTAACTTTGAACTGCCAAACTTGCGGTTCAAACCAACCTTGCAGTCCAGTGCATTATCCCACAGCACCACACCAGGACTCCTATATGTCCAATTGTTGTTGTTAAGTGCCGTCGAGTCAGTTCCAACCCAAAGTAACTCTGTATAGGGTTTCCGAGGAGCAGCTGGTGAGCTTGAACCACTGACCTTGCTGTTCAAATTGACTTTGAAGCCCAGCGCCTTAACCTCAGCACCACACCTGGGCTCCATATATCCAATAAGACCAACCCGAAGGACCATCCAAATATAGACTACATAAATGTGACCAAATCGTCCACACAAAAGTAAACATCACAAGTTTGAATGCCAAGAAAGCCAGTCAACATGAAACCAAGTATTTTTTTGAATAAAGGTAAGTTTTTTTAAGTTGCTCTAAGCTCACAATATATTTAAAACCTAAAATTTGTAAAGCATATTTGCACTGAGTTGAAAGCTCTGAGAGACCATTTAATTGGCTTATAATTTAATCAAATGGCCTGTTTTATTCAAAGCTAAGCAGTTTCCTCTGGCAGAATTTGCAACTGAATCAGAATCCATCTTTACAATCATCCTAAGACATATGCATGAGAGGGTGCTTTCAAAAGTTGGTTTTTTAAAAAATGGAAATTTAAGATAATGGAATTTTTCCACGAACTTTTTCAAGTCTCATTTCTTGAGTTTTTGTCTAATACAGATAATTTGTTTTTCTGGAAAGAAATAAGCTATCTGTGATCCTACTTCTATAAGTCCTACACATCGTAGAGTCTAATCAAACAATTGTTCAATTAAAAAAATAATCAATGAAACCCGTTATATGTATTCTTCCAGTATTTTTACTTTTCCAATATTCTTTACATGAAACTGAAAGAAATAATACCCTCATCTTCCCTACAGCACCTGACTAGTACTAGAAAATGCCAAGGGATGTGCATATAAAACTTAGCTAGCAAATGACATCTTGACCTTTTTACTCCCTGCCAAGACGTAGTTCATTTGAGAAATGAACCTAGAAAAAGGGCACATATTATCTGGCCTACTGCTTTATCTAGAAACCTTCATTTCCTAAGAAATGAGCCTCGCTACCCACTGAAGTATTTTTTAAGAAATGAAATGTATTTGCTTTCTTGCTTGATAATGGGCTAATCTTAATCATTGAGGCCATTCTCCCCTGGGTAGATGAGAAGGCTGTGTTCTTGGGAAAATCCACCATATTTCTATCTTAAACCTTAAACTCACTGCCATTCAGTCATTTTGAGTCATAGTGATTTTGTATAGGGTTTCTTTGTTTTTAAAATGATCTCACAATCTGTTTTCCAAGTAAGTCAAGTTGAACTCTGGAACTGTTTGTCTACCACGGACTTGCAGGCTTGAGACTCTACCTCTCATAAACAGGGCAAAGATAAAACACAGATAACTTCTGATTAAATGGTCATAACTTTTCATACAGGTTGAGGGGGTCAAACAGAACTTATCATCGAATCGAATTCCAAATAATCACATACCTGGTCATTCTGGTCTACAAACGTGCCCTCGGCTCCAATAGCAGGACTGCCCTTCATTTCTTTCTGATATTGCTGATGGTACCGCACCTATTTGAAGGGAAAGAATGGTGTTGTTGTTATGTGCCATGGAGTCCGTTCTGACTCACAGCGACCCTGTACAGGTTTCGGAGGATGTAAATCTTTATGTGAGCAGAAAGCC